ATACATGCATAAGTTTTTAACTTATGCACACAAGCAGTCCTGAGAGGATTCTCAGACCAATTCAGCATTTAAAAAAAAAAATTAAATTTTCTTATAGGAGAAAGAATAAAGGAACACTATTCATAGGCACACAGTTATCTGAATTAATATTAATAACAGCATTAGTAAAAGTAGTTACACCTATTACTGCTATTTTAAAATTCTATTTTTAAATTTAATAGTTTTTCTTCCATGATATCATATGGCATAAAATAAGGGAATACCTCTCAATCATCACTAAAGAAATTACGAAAAGTAACTCCCAAAATATTTCTTATTGTCAAAAGCAACATATTTTCATATGAGTCATTGTTTGATGATTTCATAATCTCAGCAAATCATTTGTAATATGTTAATATATTATGTTTTCAAATGAAAATAGGATCCTTAGAAATGTCAAGATTTTATTGAAAAACAGAATTTATTTGGACTTGAATACATCTTCAATACAGTTGTTCTTTCCTTCTCCAGGTTTTCTCTTTTTGCAATTGGCACTATACCAGCAAGCTCTGAACAGGATTTTTTTCCTRATTTTTGCTCTTAAAAAGTGAAAGTAAAAATTACAAAAAGCTGTTAACAAAGAGATTTTACMAAAAAAAAAGATTTCTGAATTACTACTGAAATTGTATTTTGTGTCTGGAGAATGGTAGAGAAGTAAAAGAATGTTTTTCTTTAATTTTGAAATAAGCACAAAATAAAGAAAGAAAAATTATATGACAGTTATAAACAGATCACTTGAAACTTATAAATAGAACACTTGAAAGTATGGTTTGTTCCAGGGCTATCACAGTTACTCACCAGACGTTCAATTAAACACTGTCAAGCAAATATTTTTAATCAATATTTATCTTTAACAAAAGCCAACATGAAACAAGCACTTAAGTCTGATCTCAGCACTTCAAGCAAAAACTGGCTCTGCCAAAAACAATAGTTATTCTACRTTTATAGTCATGCAGATGAGATTAAAAGTATGACCTAAAAATTGAGCTGTGATAAAGGACATTACACAAAAATGTTCTAATATACTGAATTCATGCCATTTCAATGTAGTTCTTTTTCTCTATGAAAATACTTGATTCTTCTGTATTTTCATGTCTTTTTTGAATAAGSCAATCCACATTTTTAAAACATCTATCACTTTTCTGAGAAAGTATTCAGTTACATTTATTATCTTAACAAAAAGTAATTGAAAATCTTACCTTAGGTGAACAATGTTTGCCATCATTTATTAGAGTTTCTCCTAAACTGAACAAAAAAATATTAAGACAAATCAATGAAGTTTTCCTAAAGTGGTGGTTCATCTTTTACTTGAAGAAATGCAAATGTTTTGATGAGTTTCAAATTTCTGTGGAAAGAATTGTACACTATGAAGTCCTGATCTAACTATTTGGGAATGTCTACAGCACAAAGGGCAGCCAACACATCASTGCTTTTACTGCCTGGATTTAATAAACCACATTTCAACTCCACAGTAGATTTTATATACTACTACTTGCATCCTGAGGGAAATTACTGCTTATCACCTCTACATGACACATCAAATAYATATATTTTCATTGTGATAAACTCTGACGGATATTCTTATATGCTATTTTTAAGCATTTGTGTATATTTGGTATGAGTGGTCTGGGCTACTTGAAAGAAAAACTAGTATTACTCAATGTTTTCAAATTTTTACAAAGCTTTTAATCATTAAAATGAAGGTGTTTGTRTTGTGTTGGGGGGTAGTGCACTGGAACAGAGCTGTGGAGGCAATTYGGGAATATGTCATAGAAGTTCAAAATAGAGAACTGAAAAAACATTTCTAATTAGTACTTTGTATTACATATTACAATTTTTTTTTCTGGGAGGATAATAGCATTATTTTAGTCTCACTGGTAGCCCACCCATAATAACATAGGTATTGAAAAACTGAGACAATAATTTAATACAATTATTTTTAACCCTGAAAAAAGTCAAAGTATGAAAGAATGGTGTGAAAAAATGGGAAAATTAAATGCAGTCCACAGAAGCTTAATTAAAACTATGAGGCACTTRCAGTTTGTACACTCTCAAGTCCACTACTTTGTATCTTAAAAACTGGATCTGATAATCTAACAAAAAAAAAGTTCCTAAAGGTCCAACAGATTTTCAACTCCTCATGCACTTTAGAGAATTTAAATTGTTTGTGATCTGACTGTACAAATGAAACCTCAGCTTCCAATGTACTAATGGGAAATACATTGTCCAAAGGATCTTCAGAATACACTGTTCAACTGCACCTTACACAGGTACAAGAAGACAATGTTCCMAATTTGTCTTGATAATGTGGTTATMTCCACCCCTATCAAAAGCTGGAATACAATGGAATACTGTGGCTTTTGCTACCAAGATTTGTTGGGAGCAATCAATATTTGTTTGATTTGGGTATTAATATGCTTTTAAATCCAATGTTTTCTTTGAAAATTAATAGCTCAATGATGCTAAGAACCTGTACCTGAAACGAGCATATTCAACTGCCTGTGAAATTCTGAATAACTTTGGCTTCTCTGTATCCCTCAAAATCAAATTTTTAATCTGTTCTAAAGTACCACATGGCACATCATAGTCTTCCAATATGAGACTTACTAGGGTTTAATTAGTGCCTCAGTTGATGCTCTCTCAAGAATATGCAGGTTGTGATCCATAGTTCAGTCTCAGGAAGAGGGTGAAAAGRTTTTCATGGCTATCTATCTAGATATTGTGTTTAAGGCAAATAGTTTTTCTTCTTTTTTCTGTGTATAAAAATAGGAAGAGGTGACAAATTTCAGGAAGGAATGGTTAAAAYAGTCAGAACATTAGCTGAACTTCTTCTCCCGTGCAGGTCCTTACATAGCTTGGAGGAAGCTATAGGACATTAGCAGAATAATCCTCCACTGGGACAAGAAGGAAAAGAAAATATGTTTTTCCAGCAGCAYAGCTATTCCCCAGCCCTCAAATAAGACTGGTAATAAATGCAGAATCCATCCCACAAAGTTTTAAGAGCTGATCTTCATCCTTCACTGGAGTATCAGTGTCTAGCCCACAGTAAAATTTATAAAGTATCTTTCAAACCAGCTGCCAGAATGGAACCTTCCATTCTGTAATTACTTCAKATCAGGCTTTTTGCTATCCCAGAATAATTATACACTTCTGAATCACATGGCCCTCAGCTTGTCACCTTCTTGTCCCACAGTGAAATTACTCATGAGGAGGAATTATCCAAYAGCTGTAAAGGAGGACTATGAAGACTTAATAAAAAATTAAACAAGGGAAAGACAGAAATATATATAGACACTATCCTTAGTTCTAAATCTCAGAAGGTATTTTAAGGTGAAGCTGCAAGTTGTGCTGTATTAGATCAAAATTTTCAGTAAATCTAAGGAAGCTCAAATTCTACTGGTGGCATGAGTTGACCACAAACATCAATCTTCCTAGGTGGGACAGGGGCCCAAATTTTGCAGTTTCCCAGCTCTGCTTCAGTTCTATTCTGCTTGGGTGACTGAGTTGTCCATCCTGATGAAGCCTTCTACTGCATCCTAAAAATATAACTKTGCATTTTATCAAGCAAGCTGGGATTTTAAAAGAATATGTAGATTAAAAAGCTCTCGATGGTAAAGTGACCACCACTTATCTACCTGCAACACCACACAGCAGATGGGACAAAGAAGTGGTGAATTTTGGGTTGGTATTCTGAACTAGKAGGTGAAAGACTTTCATTTCAGGCTCATCTTCTCAACTGCAGTAACTGGGATRCTATAAATATTAAGCACATTTGGCAACCTCACCACCGGTGGTCTTGACTGTGAAATGGTAATAGTAACACCCACTTCACAAACTGTGCTATACAAACAAATATGAGGGAGGGGTCTGTGAAGAAAAGTATTTTACAAATGAAGAGCACTATTTTACCTTCCTAGTCGAAGACATAGAACAGCTGCACACATGAAAAAAAAAAAAAAAAAAAAAAAAAAGGTTTTCGCAGTCTCAGGAAAAAACTGGGGTTTTTTTCTGGTTTGGTGGGTTTTCGGGTTTTTGTTGTTTTGAGGGGCTTTGCATAACTATATTTATGAACTTTTAAATATTTTTCTGTAATATTTTATAMAATTTTACTTTCTTTATTGTTCTGCAAACTGTGATTGAAAAAAAAAAGTTTATGGTTTTAACTCCAAGTCTTTTAACGGGTCTAAAGAGGCACCCGCAGAGCTCTGCAAACCGCACGCAGGGTTGGGGCGGTGTTTGCCCACAGGAACGCGTTCTCCCGGATACCGGCTGTGTTTGGGGCTTTTAAAGGTCATCCCGCGGTTTATGGCGCTGCCAAGAATGGAAAGCCCGGTGAAAGCCAAGCACCATCCCTGGCACGGCATCCCTGACGAGACGGGATGGCGGGGCAGTGCGGAGCGAGGTGCAGCACCCCGGCACGGGCACCGGCACGGACGGCGAGGGGAGGCGCACCCCGGCCTGCCCTGTCCCCTGCGCCCGCTGTGGAGCCGCGCCCCGGCCTGCCCTGTCCCCGGCACCCGCTGTGGAGCCGCGTCCCGGCCTGCCCTGTCCTCTGTACCCGCTGTGGAGCCGCGCCCCGGCCTGCCCTGTCCCCGGCACCCGCTGTGGAGCCGCGTCCCGGCCTGCCCTGTCCCCTGCACCCGCTGTGGAGCCGCGTCCCGGGCTGCCCTGTCCCCTGCACCCGCTGTGGAGCCGCGTCCCGGGCTGCCCTGTCCCCTGCGCCCGCTGTGGAGCCGCGTCCCGGCCTGCCCTGTCCCCTGTACCCGCTGTGGAGCCGCGCCCCGGCCTGCCCTGTCCCCTGCACCCGCTGTGGAGCCGGCAAATGCTGCGCCAGCCACCCCCGCTGCCCCCAGCACCGCCCCGCAGCGCCGCGGCCCCGCCCCGTTGCGAAGGAAGCGGCGTCGCCGGTTGCTACGAGGCCGGGCAGGACGCGCAGAGCGGCGGGGCGCGGTGCTGGCGGCGGTGTGGGCCCGGCTCTGGCGGCGGGCGCTGGATGGAGCCCGGCGGGAAGGCCGGCGAGGCGGCGAGGGGACAGCATTTCCCCGGGGCTCCGCAGGACCGCTMCGGAGGGCTGCGGAGCGTCCCTGGGTATCCTTCCTGAGGCCGTCCCCGAGCGCTGGGGCCGGGCGTTTCTCGGGGCCGCGGGGCTGTGTGGGGCCCGTGTGGGGCGGCGGCGGGGCCGGGGCGGCGATGGCCCAGCCATGCCCCGCCCTGTCAGGGACCTCCTCAGGGGTGTCTTCAAATTAAAACTTGTACATTGTGGGTTTTAAACTGCCGTGGGAAAGTTGACTTCTCGAGCAACTTCGGAGTGTTTTTGTTTTCCCTCTTCTAAGGAGATTCTGCCGCTAGGAATTGTGGTTTCCATCCTAACTTGGGGGTTCTTGTTTTTTGAATTTTAGTAGTAAGAACTACTGACACAAGCTCCAAGATCCGCCTGCACAGTGCTACTTAAATAGTTACTGGCGTTAGGCAGGACTGATCTGGCTTCGTGGAGAGAATTGATTTAATGATGTTAATCAATTTCAGTGTAAACTAATCCTAGGGGGGAGGATGTCTGTGTCTGTGTGTCTGTGTCTATGTGCCCGTGTGTCTGTGTGTCTGTGAGTTTATTATTTATCACTTTCCCTGTGATACCTGCCTCTTTATGTCAGAGGTTTCGATATCTACATAAAATGTCCCTTCAAAGGAACATAATAAAGGTGGGATTTGTCAGCTGGTGATGAAAGATGAGCCTCTCCTAACCCTTTAAAAAGTAAAATGCAATTACATTATTTTTCTGGATGAGTGTAARATTAGTTATCCCTATAACATACAGTTATGGGACCTACTCTTGTCTRTTTAGTCAAAAGGCATATCAGCATTTTCTATCTCATGGATAAAGTCTGCCCTTTCCCAAAAAGGTATATAAGGTCAATCAAACAGGCTATTAAGTCTTTTAATGAACTGTTCAATCCACTTTCTATTGTCCTTAACACAATCTTAGGGATAGAGATTTAACATTTCATTTTGAACAAGATTTGCAAGAGGAACGTCGGGCATTGAAAGAGGATCAAAAAATACATCGGAGCAAGGTCATGAAATATTTGATGGAGACAAACAGAAGAAGAAGGCAAGTAACTAGAGTTCCTTTAGTGGAGGATTGTTTTAAAAAAAAACAAACAAACA